GGGTTCGATTTGTCTTCCGTAAGAAACTGATAGGATACGTATACGCATTTGCAGTAAGCAACGGATAGAACGGACGTCACCGTTACGAACAAATGCAGATAGAAATATCCTGTCTGGTTCCGCAGTTAGATGCGGATAGACATTCAAAACTGACTGCGTATAGGAACGGATAGGATTCGTAATTATGTCTGCACATAGATTCGGATAAGTTCCATTCCATTAGGAATCAGTTAGATGCAGTTAGCCTTTTCCTACCGTTTTTGCGTACATAATCTTATAGGTTCTGCAACATTTTTCATCTGCTTCTATCCGTAATTGCAGGGCTAAAACGCATAGTAGAGCAGTCAGAAATGGATAGAATTCACGTTCTATCCGTTTCTAACGGAATTTTTACCAGGGATATATCTTCGTGATGTCTGCTGTTACTACGTATGAATGCTGTCAAAATCTTATAAGTATGGAAAACAGATCTTCTTGGATTGTTGGACCAATGAGTTGCAAATCATTGATCGACCTTCTTGTATCTGTTTTCACTGATCCATCGAAAATCACCCTCAATGCCTTGCCGCTGCCTTCTTTCTTGATGCCATGATGAGGAAGGTAATGTATCTTCACTTGTTGATCAGTATCTGCAGAAAGTATTTCTGACATGTGGCCTAATCTTATGTACTCTTCCATAAATTCTTTGTATTCTCGTGCTATATTTGGATCTCGTAGGAATTTTTTCTCCATTGCAAATAATCGTTGTTTGGCATGTGTATACATATGTGTCTCCTAGGAGAATCAGCTCTTCTTTAAATGGGATGTTAACTACAAATCTGCCATCTGAGTTTCTCTCGATAGTTGCACAAAATGCCACTGTCCTAGTCGAGTCCAATGGTTTAACATGTATTTCGCATTGTTATTGATATGAATACAATGGTAGAGGTTGATCTTCAAACGCCAATTTTGATTCGAGCAGGAAGATTCTTATTGATAACATATCTTAATTATTGTAATTTAATTATCTATCTTTAAGAATCATTCGTTATTATACATGCCGTCCATACGTCGATTTATTATAATTGTTTTATTAATTACAAAAACATTTTTCATTGCCGACATGAGAATGTAAATGTAAATGTAAATACATTTTATTGATTCCCCTTAGGGTTACGTTTTTGAAGGCGTTTTTGAAGGAACGTGCCCAAACCTCTTATAACACTTCTCTCTATATCCACTTCTCTATGTGGCGATCGAACGAAAAACCAACAATGTCTTGTTTGGTTTTGAACCCAGGTCTTCGGATCACTAGACCAGCGCACAATTCTTTGCGCCACGATCGCCACGCCGACATGACAATGGATTTTATGGAATTATTATTCTAGTAAATGTTTTATTGCTCGTAAATATATTGGCCTTAATCCTTCTTTTACTCTTGATATACTTTTTATACAATTAACTTGCGATATTTGACTCACGTCATGTGCCGTAGCAAAATCGGACTATTATTTTTCAGTTTCGTATGCTTTCGTTTTGTTATCTGCTATTTTCAATAAATTTATCTAGCAACGTTAAAATGAATCGCTTTTTAAAGTAGAAATTCCAAGCTTTATTTTTATTTTGTTGTAAACCTTTCTATGTTTATTACTTACGAAATTTTTGTCACTTGAAAGTTGGTAATTTTTTCCCAAATTTTAAATGTGCCGCTTTGTTTTTAAATGAGTGTGTATCTATATGTATGGTATGTGAAAAAGTATACAAAAATAATCGCGTTTGTTCGGTAAAACAGAATGACTGAAGAAGTGAGCCTTAATCCTATAGTTACTTATAAGCCTTTAATTTCTATTTCTATTAATCTTTAAAGTTAAATAATATGCAACAGGTATCTCGTTGTTGGGGACACCGACGGAGATTTATGTACATGGCACAAGTTATCTATTCATTTGTTGCTCTATCTTCTTCGTCACCTTTGTCACGTCGGTCGTGTATCTGCCAGTTTTTCACGAGCTCAAACTCACTAGCACTTATGAATATCTCGAGAAGCGTTTCGATAAAAGAATAAGAGTATTAGGTTCGGTCCTCTTCGCCATCAGTATCGTGAGTAGAGCCAGAAAATCATACCTATCTCCATAAATCTTTCCATTAACGTTTATTTCAAGTGATATCGATACATGATGTTTTTTTTAGATAACTTGGCTTCCAATTGTTATCTACGTACCCGCATTGGCCTTCAATCAAGGTATATATTTTCTGAACAGAGTTTAATGAAAATTTTATAGAGAATAAGCTTAATAATTTCTGAATTTGCACAAACCTAAATAATTATGCATGTGGATGCGTAATTTTAACTTGTTGGAAAATATGTTGTGCAAATATGGAAATTGCAGTACGGTATTATTATATAAAAAATTATTTCAGATTACTCTATTTTCAGTCACTGGAGTAAATGTACACATAGTTACACCCTTTGTATGCATTGTTTGCATATTTTACACCTGTGTGGTAAGATCATTGATTAAAAATTTATAAAAAAAAAACAAATGAAAATAAACGACCCTAGTAGCACAGTGCATTGGTTAAACGTTGGCTAAATATTGATCCAATATTGATTATATTAGAAATGCATTGACCAATATTGTCTAATGTAAAGCCAATATTGGTCGTGAAATAAATGTAAATATTGCACGCGTAATAATAATGATATAATATTAGATTTATATTGGAAGCGCATTGGCCAATATTTAACAATATAATAACAATATTAGCCTAATATGGATGCAATATTAAACGAATATTGCTAAATAGATATATTGGCTAAATAAGAAATGGCGATTATCTTACAATATTGAACTAATATTGAGACTTTAAGCTTTAAAATGCTTTTTTTAATTTTGAATCTACAATGATTTTTCGCCTAGTTTCAGTGGTCTGAACATAGCCCAATTTTTAGTGTATGAAACGTGTTCCCTTTTTTTTGAGTAGTATATATAATATTTTTTCCATAGGAGAGAGGGGGCTCCTTTATCTCTCATGCTGCAATGTTCACATGTAATATTTTTTGATGTGATTCTGTGAATACATGGACACTTTTGACAATAACTACAGACAGAAGACGGCACAGAGAAAGACATTGGCCTAGTTTACACCGTGCGACCTGATCGCGACCTGACCTATGCCCTGACCTAAAATAGACTTCTAAACAAAACGTTTACACCATGTAGACCTATGATACTTTTGGGTCAAATAGAGGTAAAAATTTAGTCCTCATGTGAATGCCATCTTCATACATAACCAATATCGTTTGTATTTTGTTTACCTACGAGGGACGTCTAGAAAGTAAGGTTACAAGGGCTCTGTAGGACGTAGGGAATTTGTTTCCAAAGTTAGCATACCTGGCGTGTAGAGCAATTCCTAACGAACAAAACAAGCGGTCCGGCCTTTCAGTACGTTGCGAAATGTCGTCACAACAACCAAAACCGTCAACGAGTTCGTCGGCCGTTTGCTCCACCTACCGACAGTGTGAGATTCGCCGCAGTCATCCGCTTCCTCACTTTGCGTCATGAATCCGCGGTCAACATCCATCGACAGCTTGTGGAAACCTATGGACCGGAGGTAATGTCTCGTCAACATGTTACCAAGTGGGTCCGAATGTTTAAGGAAGGCCGAACTGACATCTTCGACGAAGAAAGGACCGTCTGTCATTTCAGACGAGCTTGTGCAGAAGATTGATGAAAAAGTTCGCACAGATCGTCGTGTGACCCTTGACGTCCTTACTGAAAATTTCCCTGACATTTCATGAAGTCTCCTGGGTGAAATCGTTTCAGAAAGACTCGGCTACTGACAGACGGTCTCCCACTCCTTTCTTCGTCGAAAATGTCAGTTCGGCCTTCCTTAAACATTCGGACCCACTTGGTAACATGTTGACGAGACATTACCTCCGGTCCATAGGTTTTCACAAGCTATCGATGGATGTTGGCCGCGGATTCATGACGCAAAGTGAGGAAGCGGATGACTGCAGCGAATCTCACACTGTCGGCAGGTGGAGCAAACGGCCGACGAACTCGTTGACGGTTTTGGTTGTTGTGACGACATTTCGCAACGTACTGAAGGGCCGGACCGCTTGTTTTGTTCGTTAGGAATTGCTCTACACGTCAGGTGTGCTAACTTTGGAAAAAAATTCCCTACGTCCTACAGAGCCCTTGTAAACTTACTTTCTGGACGTACCTCGTAATTTAGGTCAGGGCACGCGAAAAAGAGACCTGACCCAAGCGAGGTCGCAACTGTTTATATCGTCGCGACCTATCGTGTTTGGGTTGAATATAAGGTATAGGTCGCGGCCTAAACGCACGGTGTAAACTAGGCCATAGGATATAGCGTTTATTCTCCATGTTTCTCTGTTTTGCAGTTTCACTTTCAAACTGTCAAGCCTATCACACAATGCCAGGCAACAGGCAATAGGAACAGGGAATAGAATTTTTGACGCGTTGGATTCGTCGAAAATTTTCTTCCAACCAATCCAACGCGTCAGAAATTCTATTCCCTGTTCCTGTTGCCTGTTGCCTGACATTGTGTCATAGGCTTCATGCGGGATCTATGTATACTATTGGTGATATTTTCTTTCTTATTCAAACAGCACATAATATTTATTAAATATTTACGAAATATAAAAAAATGTATTACAATAGCAGTTCTAAAAAGTTAAAATAGACGCGTAGACAACACTTTATAAGTATATACAGGGTGTCGGATTCGATTTGGACCACTCCAAAGATTATAGTAGATTGGGTCAAACTGAGAAAAAGTTATATACCATTTTACAAAATCCGTAATTATTATCGCGTAATTAAGAAAAACGTCTGAGCCAATAAGTGCACGGAGGAGCTGAAGGCCGGACTCGGCAGACATGTAAAATGGTGTATTATTCTCCTACCACCAGAAAAACTTTTTCGGCGCGGTGTCATATGTCGCGCGTTCGCTCGCTGCGCGCCGTTCGCCCGCTCACCGCTCCCCGCTCGCCACCGTCTCTCATCGATCGATGCGTGACTCCACCTCTCGCTATCGGATCTTGAAATGTCAACAGATACACCATTTTGCATGTCTGCTGAGTCCGGCCTTCCGCTCCTCCGTGCACTTATTGGCTCAGACGTTTTTCTTAATTACGCGATAATAATTACGCATTTTGTAAAATGGTATATAACTTTTTTTCTCAGTTTGACCCAATCTACTATAATCTTTGGAGTGGTCCAAATCGAATCCGACACCCTGTATATTAATTTAACATATGATACAGTAGTATTTAGAAAATTATTTAATGAAAAAATTTTTTATTTAATATAATTGTGACGAATGATTTTTTTACTTTATTTAGGGTGGTCTCAAGGCAGTCGTATGGACAGATTTCTTTCAAACTTTCATCATGTTCGGCTCCATGTTACTAATTACAATTAAGGGCACAGCTGACATTGGTGGATTGTCATTAGTAATTCGAAGAAATCTAGAATCCGGAAGACTCGAATTACCTATGTGCGTTCATTAATTAATATTAAATGTGTTTGTGTTACTTCTGTTCGTTGTGTTCTCTCTCTCTCTCTCTCTCTCTCTCTCTCTCTCTCTCTCTCTCTCTCTCTCTCTCGTTTAAGCTTTCCATCCAGTAAGCAAATAAACATTAATATAACGTTATTGTAATAATATTCAGTAATATAGAACGTTGTTTAGTATTATATGTATATGGATTTTCACGTTGTAATCGACGTCATTATGAAAAAATTTTAACACCAATTTTAATGTTATAATAACATTGAAATGGAAGTGTCTTAACATTGTGAAGAATGTTTTTCTTGTACACTGAAAACTGAAAAACAGTAATGGTTATAACATTTTTCCTCGTTTTTAACTTTTAGTCTTTCTTACAGTAACCATTACGTACCATTACGTACCACTACAGTAAGCATTCTCCCAGTAATCAGTACGGATTTTACAATAACTATTACGGATTCTACAGTAATGAATATTGTAGATCAACTGATTGACTGTTACTTACTAATCCAGTATTGAATCAGTACTGTATTTCCACAATCATTACGAAAAAAACCAGTAATGGTTTTGGTACAAGATTTCATTGAAAATAAAAAAACTTTTCCACTAGTTTTTTCTAATTTTTTTATATGTGGGATTCGAACCTAAGATTTCGGATTACTAGCCTAGTACGCTAACGCTGAGCTAACTATTTATATATGTTTTCTACCCTACTGTTAGGCTACATATTATTTACATATTATTTTAATGCTGGTGCAGGTCAACAGTAGTGGTTACGGAATTGCACATCACTCAATAATAAAATTGTTCAGTAATCATGTTTTCTTTACTACAATATCGCTTACAACTTTAGTCGTTAGATGGTATTGTATTTTTCAGCAGACATTACTTTTTTTTAAGTAAGCATTTGCGTATTAAGGTTAAAAGTTGAGAATGAGCAAAAATTCAGGGACTATTACTGTTTATCGATTTTCAGTGTATGTTCAATACAGAATGGTTACGGTAGAAGAAAGATACGCGTTATACATATATAAATATCCATTGTTATATTTGGCGTAATTTGTTGATGATATCATTACTTTTGTAGAGAAGATTTTTGTAGAGACAATATTTTTGAAAAGGTATTTTTGGAAAGATATTTTTATAAAAATATTTTTGTAAAGAAGATACTTTTGCAGGAAAGATATTTTTGTAGAGAAGATACGTTTGCAGAAGAGATAGAATAACATTGGAGCTTATACATACTTGGCGCATTTTTTACCTTTTTTTTAAAAAGCTAAGTTTTTTGGGTGATATCACACCTTTTGTAGTATTAAATATACCTCATACTGTTTATCAAAACGATTGCACTAGGTACGTTATAATATACCATAACACCCTGTAATATACATAGATAAATTTTTTGTGTCGGACAAGAGCTGCGTTCGGCATTGCAAATCTAGAACGTTCCACGTAACAATTCGACATCTTTTAAACGTCTAAAGGACGTCCCGTTCGTCATGCACGGACATCCGTATGATGTGAGGAAGACGTCCAGTAGACATCTTTTGTACGTACAATGTACCGCCCAAAGACATCTAGTAGACATCGTTCGTACATACAGTCTATCGCCCAAAGACGTCCAGTAGACATCGTCAGTACGTACATTGTACCGTCCAAAGATGTTGACCCGTCATTCTAACGACATTTATAAGACGTCTTTGGGTCCAATGGCTGCGTTTAGCAGAAAAAGCTGTCTTGCAATTGTTGTAACAATCCTGAATCTGATACTCTAAGATTCAGCAATTAAGAACATACACCAATCATATTCATAAATTTTATAATTGTAAGACAGCTTTTTGTGCTAAACACAGCAAATGTATCCAATAAATGTTACATTCTTCTAGGATATACAATCGATTTAATGTAGACGTCAATTTTATACATATTTGTAGTATAAAAAAAATTTTATATACATTTTGTATATAAAAATTTTTTATATAAAAATTTATTTGTATAAAACATTTTTATATACATTTTTATATACTGATTATACATGAAAATTTTTTTACCTGGGTCTGTTATACATTTAACGATAAAAAGATATTTTTCAGAACTATTATCCAAACATCTGTAGAACAAATATATAAAATAATCTCATCCACACTACTATTCTTTAAAAGAATTACAATGTAAAAACTTGTACTTAATAGAAAATCAGACGTATTGACGATATACTTTGGACATCCCTAAAATGTCTGCGTAAATAACCTTATTATTGGATGTCCAAACGACGTCCTTGAGACGTATTTTAGACACCCGTTGACATAAACGGGACTTTTCAAGACATATTTCGGACATCCAAAGGACGTCGAATTGTTGCATGGGTGACTACGTTGCAATTGACCACGGTCCCGATT